TGACACGTGATCACACTTTGCTCTGTGAATGAAAGGTTAATGGTTCTAATCAAAAGATTATGCAAAATATCACTAAAGACCCAGTAAGTTAACATAAGAGGATGCCTGTACTTCTGTTTGTAACTGGAAGAAAATTGATGTGGCCAGTGCAGAATACTGTCACATGCCCACCAGCATCAGTGTGCTCTCTGACATCTCCCCTTCACCCCATGTGGCATGTTTGTGTTGGCTGGTGTCCGTGGACAGATGGGGTCAAGGCAGTATAACCTTGGAGAAGCAAATATTCATGATCAATAAGTGCTTTATTCCAAGCATCTAAATGATTCTTATGTCTGAAGCTGCTTCCCTCCCCTCGTACTTTCCCAGAAAAGCAGTTTGAAGATTTATGCAGACTAGGTAAAAGGACATTTTAAAAGACTATACAGTATCCCAGCTTTCAAATGTCATGTAATCATAGGTTAGGGGAGAGTGCTGGGCACAGAGAGCTAAGTGATGTTACAGATAATGAATTGCCTCAGAAATATAATACATCGTGAGTATTATTCTTTGTTCCAAGCTGTGTACACCAACACTGTACAATTAAAGTTATTTATCTCACTCGTTTTTTAAGTTCATCAATTATATTGTGATACACTTAATGTCCATATGAGGATGATGTATGATTGGTCTAATTATTTCTTATTCACCATGCCTTCTAAAGCATATTAATTTTGTTAATACCATGTAATTAAAACACGTCAGTGCGCTACAAGTTGCTGGCTGTATTAATGACTATGAAAATTATTTTAATTAAATAGCCAATTATAGAAAAATCCAAACCATGAGAATTGACATTTAAATGAATTCAATTTAAATTGCTTTTCAACATTGTTTTATCAAAGCTTTATGGGGTGAATAAATTATTACATCAAACAATATACTCTGTCATTGATCATACACAAGTCTCAGGCCATATCTATACATTTTCAAACACTTTCCTGATGTCATATATCATATTGGGTGATTACATTTTGACGTAGTCATTTGTTTACCGCAATCTCATCCACGTGGTGCACTTCTGTGTACTTTTAGAGAAAACTCTTAATTGCTTATAGTGAGTTAACCAACTATTCAGTCATGCTGAAAACTTCCTTCATGGTGCTAATTTTCAAATATACATTTTTTGCAGGTGTAGTATTAAAGTGCCGCTGTACCACTGTAGCCCTCTACAAACTTGCGCTTTGTTTTCATCAACTGGGGTCAAACACGTGTAGCCTACCCAATCTTTTGAAGGGTCTTTGTATTTAAAATATCATGCATATCTTGTCGTGCCTTTTAATATCTATTAGGTCACTCAGGCTGATATATTTTCCTTTTTTTTTTGTATAATGTTAATGAAAATCATTTTTCAAACATTACAAGCTCAATGATTTGCAGTTAACCCATGCAAACAAGAGAGATGGTGGGCAAGCTGTTGTGACATTCATTGTATATAATGAAATCTTAATATGGTGCATATTTAAGTGAAAGGTTAGCAACATAAAGGGCAAATGGATTGCCTTGCAATGAATTTTAAGCAGCTATTGATTTTACACTACAAGCTACCTCTTTCCATGAATGATAATTTAGAAACGGCACGCTGCTTATCTTAAAGCTGATCTGACACAACAGGACAACAGCAATACACAACATTTTGAGATGAACGCAGACTGCGATAAGCAGCACTGGTGAGCACCACACTCATTCCACCTAATGAGAACACATGATATGTACTGATGCGTTCTACATCCAACACAAACACAAAATGACAAGTGTGGGAAAAAAAACTGTGGAAACAAAAGCAAATATGGCAAAACTGACGTACACTTTCACATTTGTCTCCAGATCCACTGGTTAATTAGAAATCTATGGAAATGAGTGGTGCCAAGTTGTGGAACAGAAAAAAAAGCCTTACCCTGGAGCTGAATAAGTCCACTTGTGGTTTTCAGGCATAGTGTGAATATCACATAAAAGCTGAGTATCATTTCTGGTCCTATCCAACATATCTGCATTCTAATTTTAATAGGGTGGAATCACTGAATATATTGTCTGTTTTAGGATAACTTTCCGGCATGTTACTGATGTGTTACACCAGTTTATTGATTTGTTAGAAAAATGCACTGTACTTCATGATGCACCACAGCAATACATGTATAAACTGTTTGAGCCACTCTTACTGTACATGGAGTCAACCCTACCCAGTGATACTGTGCTGCAAGTCCTCTGTCTCTGCCCTTATCCTTCTTTCCTGCACTGTGTTATATTGAAATTGATGGAAAGTTTGAGAATCCTTGTTTCCAGAAGATTGAGCTCTCAGTGTCACAAAATAGCACAACCCTTAAATAAGCTGGTGTTCAGACCTGGAGGTTGTGCAATGTATGTACCATGTCTAAAGTTGAAAATGCTTCTCTGTGCAAGACACCTAAAAAGTAAAAGGTGACCTTGAATATGGCCAACATTTACAGGGTTTACATCGATTTGGCATGTCAGAGATGGAGAGCATTAGGAGCATCCAAAGGACTAGAATTTGATGTAGATGTGGCTTTCTTCCTTCTCGATGCATAAGTACTGTAGTTGGCAAAGTGTATATGTTGGTATCACTAGCAAGCTAACGTTAGCATTTCGATTTTGTACCTTTGTATTGAATTATTATTGAAGTAATTTTGCTAATTTTTCCTTGGTTTTGGTCCAGTTTATGTCGGACATAACGCTGCAGTCCATGTAGCATTTCAGTGAGGAGTTGTTAAAATTTACACCATCAATACAACTAGAAAAGTGGGGAGTTTGTTCAACTTCAACACTTCGACTGCCCAGCGACCTAGGCACGGGTCCTCTTTGTGGACATTCAACACCATCAGACATCCTCCACTCCAAACTGACCCAGCTCACTGTGCCTGCCCGCACCTGTCAGTGGATCACCAGCTTTCTGACAGAAAGCAGCAGGTGAGGCTGGGGAAAATCACATCCAGCCCTCGGACAATCAGCCAAGGCACCCCCTGGGGATGTGTGCACTTACCCCGGTGCTGTTGTCCCTCTACACCAATTGACTGCACTTCAGGAGACCCCTCTGTAAGGATCCTGAAGTTCAAAGATGACACAGTGGTCATCGGCCTCATCCAAGATGGTGATGAGTCAGCCTACAGACAGAAAGTTGAACAGCTGACCCTGTGGTGTGGTCGCAGCAGCCTCGAGTTGAATATGCTGAAAACTGTGGAAATGACAGCGGTCCTCCCCCACCCTGTCTCCCCTCACCATACTTAGCAGCACTGTATCAGCAGTAAAGTCCTTCAAGTTCCTGGGCTTCACTGTCTCCCAGGACCTGAAGTGGACGTCCAACATCAGGACCCTCATCAAGAAGGCACAGCAGAGGATGTACTTCCTGCCCCAGCTCAGGAAGTTCAACCTGCCCCAGGAGCCGCTGATACTCAGCAACTAGGAATCATCGAATCATCATGTGCACCTCCATCACTGCCTGGTTTGGCTCAGCAACCAAACAGGACAGGGACAGACTCCAGCAAACAGCCAGGACTGCAGAAAAGGTCATTGGTGCCAGTCTGCCCTCCATGGAGGACCTGTACACCTTATGGGTCAAAAGGAGGGCAGAGAGGATCACTGCAGACCCCTCACACCCTGGACACGGACTGTTTGAACTCTTCTCCTCTGGACAGAAGCCATGGTACGCCAAAACAACCAGACACAAGTTTCTTCCTCTGGGCCATCACACTGACGAACAGTTAATCCATGTTTATATGCACCTGTACAACAAGACACAGCAAACACCACAGTGTAATAACCTATAGATGTAATCATTGTACATAAAACAGCTCATTTTGACTTGTATATATGTACATATTTTGAAATAGAGGCTTGTTTTTTGTTTTGTTTTGTTTTTAAAGTGTTGTTCTGTTTGTTTTTTTTTTTTTTTTTTGGGTGCCCTTTGGGGGCCGGGCCAATGAGCTGGAGTCACATTCCTTGTATTTTAACAATGCCACCAAAAACCACGGGCTCTATATTCTGTATACATTAGTTCTGGAGCTGGTTATTACTGTTATGCTACCTGACTGCCACAAGTAGCTCAGGCTGATGTGACCACATATGACCTACAGTAGTTTCACAGACAGGTCAGGAGGGGCAGAAGGGAGTGGACAGAGAAGAGGAGGGGATACTGCTTGAGTTTGTTTTGACTCTCACTTTGCTCTTAGTGGTCAGAAATGAGAGAGAGATGTTAGTTAATGCAGCTTTAAATGAAACAATTTTCCTTTTTTACAGATGGGGTGTCCCTTGAACAATGAGTCGTGCTGACATACTCAGAAAAAACACAAATGTGACATCAGGATTAAAGTTTTTTAAAAAGCACTGCAGTATTAACGTCTGAATTAAAGTACATTTAAAAGTTTGCAGAAAGCATGTCATAGAGATCTGTTCTCAACTTAGGATCACGGTGGTGCAGTGGCTTTGGATACTGTTGGATAGCAGGTGTAACCAGAACCAGAAATAACTGAACTTGAATTTCACATATACCTAGTGTGTGCATGGTTCTGGCCATAGGGGGGGGAACATTCAAGAAAATGTTTCCACAGTTACAGTATGACCGGATATCGCTTTGTGGGATAAACAATGCAACATTTGAACAGACCTGAAACATTTCAGTGGCAGCCAGAGCCCAGTTATCTGTTCTTCAAAGGCTTCCACTGTCCCCTAGCTCCTCCCTCTCTGTACCGTGTGACAACAACAACTCATCCACAGAGCGGAGCTGCACTTTTCAGCTCATTTTCCTCCTGTCATTCCTCCTCCTATCTTTGATCATTGTCCTGCCGCTCAGCCCCCCAAAACCCTCACTCAGCACGCCTTTTTTCCAGCAGCTCTTTTTATTTCCCAACTTATCTGAGGAGCTAAAGTCTCGTGGATTCTTTCATTTAGGGGTGTCTCGGCAGGCTGGGTTTTATACTTTGAACTTCGGCTACTCTCTTCCCCTTCTGTAGGTGACCATGGCCGTGCCGGCTGCTCTGATCCCACCAACTCCTCTGGTCCCACCGCCTCCGATTTCGAATCCTTCCGCGACGACGTCCCCGCCGTCGACAACTTCATCACCATCTCCATCCCTGGCTCCTCCATCCGGACCCGGACAGAACCTGTTCAGATCAGAGCTCCTCGCCACCAGCAGCCCGGGCATCCCGACCCCGACCGCGGCTCTACCCCCCAGCAAACCCGTGTACTCGACCCCGTCGCCTGTTGAAAACATACCGCAAAACAATGAGTGCAAGATGGTCGAGTTGCGCGGTGCCAAAGTGGCCTCTTTCACCGTGGAAGGCTGCGAGCTCATCTGCCTTCCTCAGGCTTTCGACCTGTTCCTGAAGCACCTGGTCGGCGGACTGCACACGGTCTACACCAAGCTGAAGCGGCTGGAGATCACGCCGGTAGTGTGCAATGTGGAGCAAGTCCGCATCCTCAGAGGGCTCGGCGCCATCCAACCGGGGGTGAACCGCTGTAAACTTATTTCCAGAAAAGACTTCGAGACTCTCTACAACGACTGCACCAATGCGAGGTTAGTGGAGGTTTGTGTATGACATTGTGGTTTAATTGTCTTTCGGAAAGCCGTGCGTAAAGGCGCCGGAGCAAGAAAGGGGGAGACATTTATCCTTTATAAAACAAGTAGTTCGAGCGATATGGTTAACTTGTCAGCCAAATTTAATAATCGATTGTTGTAGAGTGTGTGTGTGTGCGTGTGTGTGTGTGTGTGTGTACATGCGTGAGCGTGTATGTCAAACTTGATCCAAGCATCCATGCTCGCGGTTGTCTGTTGGACGGGAAGAGGCCAGCGCGCAACATCAGTGGAAAAGTTCAGAGAAAGTTGTTTAACACGTGCAGGGCAACGCTGTGCCATGATGGATAGCCTGTCTGCCTCAGAACAAATGAATCGATAATGTAGGCTACACCTCCGCTGAGTTTCTCAATGCTGTAGGATAAACTTGTGGTGTACAACTGCCACTGCAAAGAGTTTCAGAAACAGGAACCCTTGTTCTTTTATTAACCATGCTGTTCTGTAATTTTTCTTTAACTTTAGGCTAAGAACTGATTTAACTCTATTTTTAAACGACTGAGATAAGACTAGGTTCTGCCTTATCACACGTTCCAGCTACAGGGGCCATATCATTTCAGTTCAGATCATTTTGGTTTCTAGAAAGTAAATACGACAAAGACAGATTTAAATGACAAGGAATACTTTTTGTATTGTATTATTTTGTATTAGTATTCTTAGTGCTGATAGCCAGTACATTTATTAAGGAGGTCACATTACTCTCATGGCTCCTGTTGAAGCCAGTTATTTTTCACACTAGGGTTAATTGTCACACACATTTACAGTATATGAGAATGTGTCCCTATCAGACAAGGAGATTACTGTAGAGTGAGTGAAGTAAATGACTACGTGACAATTAATGGATAAGTTCATATTACCAAATCAAATATTTTGAGCTTTCTATGTTTTATTATGGAGTGATTTAAGTGGGGATCAATATTTGATTAAAAGCCATTTTTACTGTCCTTTCGCTCCCAGCTTTGATGTATCACTCCGTCTCTCAGGATGGTTCAGCCTGGTCAAATTTACCATCTTACCTGTCACTATGATTGATTCCATATTGATCTCATACCCAGAAATGAGCTGGAAATGCAAATATGATGGAAAGGCTAACATCAGTGGGGAATAGCAATAAACACTGAGTCACTTGGTTGTTTCAGCGTTACTCATGCTGCATTTTGGAAAATTAGAAAATGACAGTGTGGGATTAAGCTTAACTTTGACTTTAAGATACATGCTGAGTATTATACATGTGAAAAGCCACAGAAAAATGTGCACACAGCTACAGAGGTTGTTGTGCAAACAAATGATTTTTATGTGCTATTTGTGCCATTAAGATCCATTTGCATTTTGATCCTCAAAGCTTTGCTGTTTCTGCAAAGTGCACTTTTAGGCCTGGTCAGAAAAATAGGCAAAATCAAGTAACTCACACAAAATTTTGAGGTAGACTTTGAGAGGGATATTATTACAGTTAAACATTTTTAACTCAAGATTTTTCAGATTTTTAGTAACCTACAGTTTTACCTATAAATAAACAATTCCCATTCTCTTTATGATTATTTAACATCACATATACACAGCATATAGGAATATGCTGCAGTGCCATAGTTTCATTCCAGCAGCAGTTGTCTCAACAACTCACCTGTGCACTTTGGTGCTTAAGCATCATTTACATAAAGCACCAAGGGAGCAGTACACCCCCTCCCCTTCCCCTCCACAGAGCGAAACATACCGTGCGGTGATCAAGCCTGGCGTGGGGCTTCAGGTGACAAAGTATGTGGTTGAACTCCCTGGGTTGTCAATGGGGGATGGCCAGCGATGGGGTTAAAGGATAATGCAGTGCCTCGCGTCGCTTTAATGACGCTAAAGTGCTGGGCTATTACGGGCACATGGACAGGACTGTAATTGTCTTTGAAAGCAGCCAGGTTCTCCCGGTGCTGGGCTGAAATCAATCACTCAGACCCGTTTGCCTGCCCCATTTGGAGAATTACATCATGGAACAGTAAGGCATCCGCTGGATAAAAGGCTTCTGTTACTTAGAAAGAGTTGATTTTATTTGCTGGGATGTGTGCTTTCCTCTCTCTTGTCACTGAATTGCTGCTGACAAAATGATCAGTAAACAGGACACAGGTTCGCCCTGTAGGTGAAAACAAGTTCCCTCTGCAGAGCTGACGTTCCGTTTTGCACCGAGATAAAAAAGTAACTGAGTGCACCAGTTAACTGCTCAGGTTACACAACAGCAGCCTGCTGCCTGAGAGAGTTTAGTTTTTTATCTCCCTATTACAACAGTGTCACTACTCTTTTTATACAGTGGCAGAGTGGTAACAGTGAAGTGAATAATACGCCTGTACAATGGGTCTTACTATTTCACATGCTGTTTTTCCCCTCCCATGGTCTATTGTGTTAAAACAACTAGTCTCATTTTGCACACAGTATGAATATGAATAGCATCACAGAGCACCCGCTGCTTTAGTTTTGATGTGGACACAAACAAGCTTCTACCAAACTGTTCCCTACTATGCTTACTTTAGCATAACACCTTTGAACACGTTAAATGTTTTTGAGAATTGTAGTGTGGCAGATTATTATTTTTTTTATATTTTATTGATGGATTCAGGATTAGAATTTTTAATGAAATATTTATTTAAAATATTTTTTACCATGAGTGTTTGAGCTTTGTCTAATGAGCGACACAGTATTTTAGTAATTATTGTTAATCTTTAATACTAGTAATATAGTCATTGTCGACCCCTTCATTTTCTTGAGGACTCTTGTGCCAGATTAGCAGTGTACGCTCTTGTTCCCATACTGATCCAAGTTCGGTAATCTCCCCTACATTATGACTCAGGCCCTCCACGAGCCCTCCAGGAGCCCTCTGTTCCAGCTACTTGTTTTCCTTTTCATTTTCCCTGTGGTGGAATGGAAAAGGTTCTTATTGCTGTGTGACACTTGAACTCTCTCAAAGGTTATTATAACACAGGGGGCGGTGCAGAGATATCACGTATCTCTCATTGGTCCGCTTTGTGGAGGCAAGGCTGTCCGATGCTGGGGCGCAGAAATGCAGCACTTAATTGACAATCATTGTCTACCCCTGAAGGTTAACCACACGCCCCAGACAATGTCTCACCACTGGGACCGGGACGGCTTTTCACTTACATGCCCTTCTTAAGTAGATTTTACTCGGCTCACTTCAGTCAAACTGGTCTGGCTGCGGTGTTATGAGTGACATGTTCTTTTTCTTTAACAAACATATCTAATTGATACTGATATGGCAGCAAGTGTTATGAGAGCTATCACCCCTCTTGTTCCTATTTCAATAGTGTTTATGCCTAAACACACATATTTGCAAATGATGGTAATTGTTTTGTTTAGCGCTCAGTGTGAGCTGCCACTGAGGGTGCCAGCTTGCCTCTCTCCCTCCTCTCCTCTGCTGAGCTCTCTTATAATATATTTGTTTTCTACAACGCACGGATGTGTTTACAGGTACTCAGGGGAGATTTCTGGATTCCATTCAAATCATTCCCAGTCAGAGTGGGTGCTAAGATACCCGTCACCCAGCAACCACATCCAAGAGGGAGCCTGGGCGATAATAACTTCAAAAACAGAGTGACAGATGCCTGATTAGAGAGAGGGGGGGAGAGAGAGAGAGATAATGGCTTACAAAACTGTTTAAAACCCAGATCTATTCAAGTACTTTCTTGAAAGTAAAATTGGCCCTCATATTGTGTGTTGTTTCTTTTCATTTAAGTAAAAACAAGTATTTAAAGTTTCAATTCTTCAGAGGGGGGCTCTGCAAAATTTCATTAGGTACAGTACATGTGCTCAAGTCGACTGTGCAGTTGGCAGATGGCGGCAAGGTGGGTTTTTTTTTTTTTTTCCAAATAGTCTCCTTGAAAATCAGATTTGTGTTATTTACTTGACATTCAGCTGGAGCAAGTGCAAATACAAAACATTTTTTTAGACTAGTTAAGTTAAATAACATTAATTTTCTTCATTTCTTTTAAGATCACACTTTTGTAGCTGACACAGAACCTGAGCCAAGACTGTAGAAAACCACAGATTTCTCTTGTTAAAGAGACTTTGTTTGACACTGTCTAATGTCATTTGTGGATTTAGAAGCTATTTGCATGGCAAAGAGGCCTGTATTGTTAATTTGCCTGTCGGACGCATTAGTTGTCCAGGCTCCTATCTTATTTGCATGCCTTTACTGGATCGGCAACAGCAGTTGGATTACCAATTAAATCTTCTACAAAATGAAATGCTGTAACGTCACACATCAACACGAGGGCTTTCACATTGCTCGGTACGTTAAAATGACCTGTTTTTACACCAACCATAAAGGGGTATTAGCTTAGATTTTTTTAAATAGACATCAGACTTAATCTGTTTCACATATATCTGTCAATATCACTTATCAACTGTATTTAACTAGAATTGTTAACAGTGATGATTTTACATCTGACACTAATTTCCTGACAGACCAGCAAAAGATTTTGGGTCACTCTGACTTCTGTTCTCCTCTTTCTCCAGTTAGAGCTCCCTAGCTTCTCTTTACTCACGGGCTCTTTCACATTACAGCACATTTAGGGAGCGTAGCGAAAGTCAGTGACGCTCATACCAGGATGTTAAATGCTACTGACAGAAGTTAGAGGGAGCAGATGAGATTTCCTGATTGGAGAAGGAATGCAGGCCCTTGCCGGGCTCTCTCTAATATGGTCACATAGAGAAATTGATTTTCTTCAGAAATTAATTAATTTTTCATATAGCCCAAAGCTGAAGTTTAAAAAAGAGTGCACACTTGCTGGTTTCCTATTTTCTCCTTTTTTAAAGAATTATTGCCTAATCATATTAATACTTTTGCCCTAAGGATGAAAAGATAATTGTACAAATGCATTTGGAAATATGTATCACTGAGTATTTATGATTAAATTATGCAAATAGCTCCGCTCCCATCCTTCGTGGGCCCA